CGCTTGATCCCCCCTGAAGGACATAAAAACAAGATGTATAGGAGGTCAGACTTTTAATTGTAAGAAATAGCTTTCTCTGATCTCTGATCTATATCTTCATTCAACTTAGTCCCTTTATTCATCAGAGATCGCCACAACAGAATGAACCAACAACTCATCCAGCATATGTTTTACACAGCGTATGCCCTTCCAGCTGCAACCCTTTACTGGGAAATGCTTTACTGTTGAAGTCAGAATTATTAGCCCCCCTTTGATTTTTTAATTAATTTTTTTTATATTTATCAAAGGGGCGAGGCAGTGGTGCAGTAGGTAGTGCTGTCGCGTCACAGCAAGAAGATCGCTGGGTCGCTGGTTCGAACCTCGGCTCAGAGGGCGTTTCTGTGTGGAGTTTGCATGTTCTCCCTGCCTTCGCGTGGGTTTCCTCCGGGTGCTCCGGTTTCCCCCATTCATTCTGCTGTGGCGACCCCGGATTAATAAAGGGACTAAGCCGACAAGAAAATGAATGAATGAATATTTATCAAATGATCTTTAACCGAGCAAGGAAATTTTCACAGTAGGTCTGATAATATTTTTTCTTCTGGCAAAATTTGTTTATTTGTTTTATTTTGGCTAAAATAAAAGCAGTTTATAATTTTGTAGACATCATTTTAAGGACAAAATTATTAGCCCTTTTAAGCTAATTTTGTTTTCGGTAGTCTACAGAACAAACCATCATTATACAACTTATACAATAACTTGCCTAATTACCCTAACATGCCTAGTTAACTTAATGAAATCATCATGACAAAGATAAAATAAATCAGTTATTATAAATTAGTTATTAAAACTATTATGTTTTAAAATGTGTTGAAAAGAAATCTGTTTTTCGTTTAACAGAAATTGGGGGAAAAATAAACAGGGGGGCTAATACTTCAGGAGGGCTAATAATTCAGACTTCATACCATTGTGAATGTATAATCGTGCCGATCAATGCTAGGAAAAAATATGATCCAACAGTCTGAAACTGGCAGTTCTAGACCACCGAAAGACATCTTAAGTATTTACAAAACATGTTTAGTGTAAAATAGGTGTTTATATCTGCATGTAGCTTTAAAAAAAAGAAAAAAGACACATAATTTATCAAATTTGACCTACAGTATCCTCTAAAATAGTCACAAAATATCCACCAAAACACTAAAAACGTATACATTTTATTAATAAATTGGATGTAATTTAAATACAATAATAAACTTTATTCACTGATGCCTGTATTAACAAACTACTACCAAAAAAATTTACCCCCTGCACCCTAACTCTGTGTATATACTGTATATATATATATTTATTTATTGTGTGTGTGTGTGTGTGTGTGTGTGTGTGTGTGTGTGTGTGTGTGTGTGTGTGTGTGTGTGTGTGTGTGTGTACATATATATACACACACACACACACATACACACACATACACACACATTTATTTATTTATTTGTTTATTTATTTATTACATTATTTCTTAATTGCCATACGTTTAAAGTCCAATGTAGTACCTACTCAGTACAATTTTTTTCCAAACAAACAGCTTTGACTCGTTTAAATTTTGCGACTACCCCATACATACAGGCTACTATTATGCAACAGGAAATTAACGTTCCATATTGTCATGAACACGCTCAAGAAGAAGACAGCGAGTCTCTAAATCTTGCATATCATGATGAACATGCTGAAAATGTGTCACCTCTTAGACGGTCTGAGAGAGAATGTGTATTTTTTGGGTAGACTATACCTATAATGTTTCCTTTATTACTCTTTGTTTTCGCTCCTTGTTCCTTCACAAACGGCCCATAAATATTGCAGTTAATTAATGTGAATTAAAATGACCTCAGAGTATATGTAAATGCATAATTTCACTGAAATTGGTGCATTTGCATTGTAGTGTTTAACAAAAAACTCTAGTACCTAATTATTAGGGATTTTAACCATACGAAGGTAGCTTATTATACAGTACAGTACATCTATTTGTTAATGCATGCTACAGCTTACTATGGTATTAGCTAGAGTGAACTGATAAACTGCATTAAATAATGTTGTATACTTTAGTTCTATCTACATTAGATGTATTGAATAATGTAGTTGTAGTAAGCATTTGTATTACCATAGAATTAGCACAACATCATAGTAGCCTATTTTACTATAGTAGGCTATGGTTCAAATACTCTATACAGTATTGTTTAGTATTCTATGGTCATTTTGCCACAGCCATATCACCCTGCAGCCCAAGACCGGTTACTCACTGAAGCTAAGCAGGGCTGAGCCTGGTCAGTACCTGGATGGGAGACCACTAGGGAACACTAGGTTGCTGTTGGAAGTGGTGTTAGTGAGGCCAGCAGGGGGCGCTCAACCTGTGGTCTGTATGAGTCCTAATGCCCCAGTTAAAGTGAAGGGGACACTACACTGTCAGTGGGCGCCGTCTTTCGGATGAGTCGTTAAACCGAGGTCCTGACTCTCTGTGGTCATTAAAAATCCCATGGCACTTCTCGTGAAAGAGCAGGGGTGTAACCCCGGTGTCCTGGCCAAAGTCCCTCTGTCGGCCCATACTATCATGGCCTCCCAATCATCCCCTTCCACTGAATTGGCTCGATCACTGTCTCTCCACTCCACCAATAGCTGGTGTGTGGTGTGCGCACTGGCGCCGTTGTCCTGTGGCAGCCGTCGCATCATCCAAGTGGATGAGTGCTGCACACTAGTGGTGGTGTGGAGAGACCCCCCCTCATGATTGTAAAGCGCTTTGGGTGTATGGCCATACACAATAAATGTGCTATATAAATACACATTACATTACATTTACATTTACATTACATTTTCCATGAGGGTTTTCTTAGTAGAAGCTTTATAACAAGATAAAGGTAAATAAATTTTGCTCAAACTGATCTTTCATGTTCACGTTGTAAGGTGAATTGATCACGACCTGGCTATTGAATTCACGAGCAGGAAAGTGGGATGATGCTGATTATTACTGTGCAAATCAATAAGTTATAATGAATGCTAGAGTATCTTTCACTCGTTTTCTGACCTAGCAACCTGTAAGTGAATATCAATTTCTTTAGGGGTTTGTGTGAGGTTTGTCATGTCTGTGTATGAGTGTCAAGTCATGACATTTTCTCTATCAACATCTGTGAGCAGCAGCAGCAGACCTAAGGCCTTCAGCAGCGTTCACACCCAGTAGATGTGACAGAGTCAGAGATCCTGCTGTCACATCAGGGAATCTCACAGGTGACGAGAAACACAACAGTTATATAAAGGATTTCCAATCCGCTTTTCCAAACGGCAAAGAATTCAGTTTTTCCGGGTTGTTATGTGTTTGTTTGTGTGCTGTCAAAATTGGAGAGAGGATCAATTCAGTCAATAATCCAATATCCATATTGTTGCATGCTTAATGTGTATGTCTTGCCATTTGTACAACTGCAGAAGTATAATCAATTCTACAAGTCGAAATAAGTTTTGATCAAGATACTCACTCGCTGAACAGAAACCTATTAAATAATAGCCTTTCGGTACAAGTTAACCTCATATTTCAGCTGAAAACAATGTCAGTGTTTAACACAAGGTGTAATAGATTGTCAATTTGTCATCTGTACATTAGAATGTGTGCAGTTTGATTTTATTTTTCTGAATAAATGATCATTTTTACTATGATTTACCATGACAGAAGGTTGCTGTTGGTTGTGGTATTAGTGAGCCAAATTCCCTCCATCGACCCTAACCGATCATGGCCATCCCCATTGACTGAATTGGCTCTATCACTGTCTCTCAACTCCACTAACAGCTGGTGTGTGGTGAGCGCACGGGCGCCGTTGTCCTTTGGCTGCCATCACATCATTCAAGTGGATGCTGCACATTAGTGGTGGTGTGGAGAGACCCCCCCCCCCCCCCCTTAAGGATTTGTGAATGGGAGTGTGTATGCTTATACACGATAAATGCGCTATATAAATACACACACTACACTTACATTACAAGTTGTCCACTGCAATGTCAATTAGTGTAGCAAAATAATACATAATCAAAAATATTGCTTGGCATTTTAGAACAGGAATCAGTTTAATTTAGTAAATATTAAAAGACTCTCAATAATAAAAACATAATAAAAGACTCTGACTGTTAATTTATATTAATTCACTGTAACTCTAAATGGTTGACTTGTTACTTTTCCATTTATATATGTGTGTGTGTGTGTGTGTGTGTGTGTGTGTGTGTGTGTGTGTGTGTGTGTGTGTGTGTGTGTGTGTGTGTGTGTGTGTGTATATGTGTGTACAACCCAGTACTGAGAAACATCTACTCATTTACACACACTACGGCCAGTTTAGTTTTTTTTAATTTACCTATATAGCGCATGTCTGTGGGACAACCTGGAGCACCAACGCGACCACGTGGAGAGCATGCAAACCACACAGAAATTCCAACTGCCCAGTCGGGAAACGAACCAGCGACCTTCTTGCTGTGTGATGACACTGTAATCACTGAGCCACCGTGTTCCCCTAGAAATAGATTATAAATTAAACAGTGCTACTGGAATGTTTAGTATTTTCATGAACAGCAGTGATTGTTGTAAAAGTCCACTAGGGGGCGCCGGTATGTTATTAAACTGAATTATCTTTAGTGCAGGTGTTAAGAAATTTGATTAAATCGAAAACAATCAAACACACATTTTTAACGTGTAGTGTTTTATAAAAATACATTTTTTTATAAATATCTGCATTATTTGACACATGAACGGCATTTACAAAGTTTTATTTATAAAATGTATTAAATAAACATATATAGACTCTAGAGAGAAATAACTTTTTAACGTTAGTTGAAATAATCACATATTTGCGTGATTAACTACCTAAAAAACAACAATTTTCATGTTTCAGAAAAAAATAAGTAGTATAAATCACGCAATCTGTCGTCACGTAGTCAGCGAATAAAAAGTCAGAAATGGCATTTTTGTCCGTGCAGTAGTTGGTGAAAAATGATCGAGGATGAAACTGTACCATATTCCACTGGATTTGTAGTCCAGCGCTCGACGGACTCGCATTGAGAGTCGCTTTCCCGCCCGCCGAGGGGAACTACAACTCCCATGAAACCACCGCAGCGCTTCTGTTAATATCAATATGGCTTCTGTCAGTCAGACAAAGGCGAATCAGTTTTTGCCTTGAAATGAAATCAAATTAGGTAAAGGTAGCGGGAGAGTCGGACATCGTCCTGTTTTGCTGGTTCATGTCAGGCGACGGGGATTAAAGGGCCGGAAACACTGTCAGTCGAGTGGAATAAATGCTGTGGTGCACGGAGGCCCCGCACGCGCACAATCAGGTAAGTCTGAGATGCCAAATTATAAGAAAGGCGTCATTTGTTAAATCCGTCTGGAGACGTGAAACATGCGTTCACCTGCAAATGACACTCGAGGGGGTGAATGGCTCGGTTCGGCTCCTGGTTCGCGTTTAAAGTCACATCTGCTCCCATTCTGTGACGGGATAGGGCTTTTGAAAAGAAATGCATGCAACTGTGCAACAACTGACACATTGTTGACATTGGCGAAATTAATAGTTGTCGTGATGCCTGTTTATTTTCATCATGACTGTTGTTATTTATGTATTGTGTATGCAAATAGTTATTGCTGGGGTGTTTTTTGTTTTAACAGGGTGCTGACAGCATCCAAGAGCTTTATCATTTGAACAGGCTAAAGGGTGTGTGTGTGTTTGGGACGTGTGGTAGATTTGGGTTTGATTTAAAATCTTTATTGCTATACTTTTTTTATTCGGTGATGTATTAATATTACCTTCACCATATTTGTTTGCATGTTTTCTTATAGATGCATGCATGTGAATAGTTTCCAAGTTCTTGCAATAGATGATTAGCAGTAAGCAGTTCAGACACTGATTATGTTTTTGTGAAAACACTGATTAATTTGCATTGGTTTATTTGTCTGGAAACATGTTAAATGCACAGTATGCACATGTGTATACAACTTTGCTGTTTACTTTGTAAATGCTTCACAGCAGTACATTGCATTCAATAAAATAGAAGCATTTTTATTTAGCACAGCTTTATTAAAAAAGAAAATTAATTAGCCATTTGTTTGTGTATTTATTTATTATTAGTAGTATTTTAAAGAGCAGAAAGTCTTAAATTTGCAGTTGACTGTCATGGCATTAAATCTTAAAATGTATTAAATTGTGTGTATTTGTTTTTAATATACATCTTACTATCCTTACATATTAATATCTTAATACCTTTGTATAAAATCAAAATACTCGTTTTATGAGAAATTAAACAAGACTACATGAAAATGTATTCCTTAAATAATGTTTGTCAGTGATTACGCATCTTTTTTATTTACCTTAAAAATAAATCAAAAATACTGAACAGAATGTTACTTTTTTGCAATATGACCAGATGGTTCAGTAAAAGTTGATATTACAGTGTTTGGGAGTAGTTATTCAAACCTAAGTGTAATATTTTACTGTTTTTTTTAGTAGAGTTAGCTAAAAAATAATCAACATTATACAAATTTGTATATAATTTTTATTTTTATTTTAAAGTGTTGCTAAAATAAATCACCTGTCTGCTGCTTATATGTTTATTTTTAAAGAAAAAAAAACTGGTTCGGATTCGGATGGTTTGGAAAGACCCACCCCTCACTGACATGTCCAGAATTTGTCCCATACATGAGCTCATTTGTCCTATTTTCACTGCCATGCCATCATAAATTGTGAAAGTAACCCACTGAAAAAGGCTTTCAGACCAAGTGGAATCTTCTGTTGGCTGTTTTGACTTCAGCTTATCCGTTTTGTTTATAAACAATTATTTTTTATAAGTCAAGCATCCAGCTGTGCAAGACAACATACAATTTGACATAAGACTCACTTCTGTATTGTTTATAAACAGAGAAAACATTTTACTTGTAGCTTTTAGTCTAAATATTGGAGCTTATTCTTGAAAGAAAAATTACCAATAAAAGGTGTGAAGCGCCAAAACGGCCCATATTAAAATAAATGTGCATACTAATTTGTCTTTTGCTGTTATTTATACATTTTCAAATGTACTTTTTTGTAAGAGGGGCTAGAAAAGATTTGAAGCTATAATTAGTAGTAAATTATTAATTTTTAGAATTCCGTCAGATGAGACGTTAAACCGAGGTCCGACTCTCTGTTGTCGTTAAAAATCCCAGGATGTCCTTCGGAAAAGAGTAGGGCTTTCATCTTGGCCAAATTTGCCCACTGGCCTCTGTCCATCATGGCCTCCTAACCATCCCCATATCCCAATGGGCTTCATCACTCTGTCTCCTCTCCACCAATCAGCTGGTGTGTGGTGTGCGGTCTGGCGCAATATGGCTGCCGTCACGTCATCCATGTGGATGCTGCACACTGGTGGTAGATGAGGAGATCCCCCTATGTGTAAAGCGCTTTGAGTGCTCAGAAAAGCGCTATATAAATGTATGTAATAATAATAATAATTTATTATTATTATTATTATTATTATTATATTTTAAACTTTTTATAATTCAAATGGCCAAATTCTGAGAAAAATTGAATGTAATTTGGGCCAGTTTGTTTTTTGCATAATAAATGACAGTAGGCCACAGACTTTAAGATACTCAGTTTTTTTTTAAAATGATAAATGATGTGATAAATTATTATTTTAAAAATAAGTATTTTTTCATATTTCTTTATTGTAAATCTTAAAGGGAAATATTTTAGGTACTTCAAAAAGTGTGGTTATGATGACCATCCCACAAGCTTATCCTGCTTAAAATGTCACTAAAACGCAATATTTAAACCTCATTATTAAATAAAAGCGAGCAACTACAAAAAGGTCCACTCTTTGAGAAAGAGAACCACCCCTTTCACCAGGCTGCCTCCGGGCCTGATTATATTTGATTTGCCAAAGTCACAAAAGTGGAAACTTCACATCCGTCTCATCCATAACAAAAAGATGTCACATCCATAACAAAGCTTTTTTTTCTCATAAATGCAAAAATGTAAAATAAAAATCAGTAATTTTTGTTCAATTATGAGCCAACTCTTATACTTTTAATTAGAATGATTTCTTTTGGTTTGTGCAGTTTAATTCGCAGAATTTCTACAAAGTTCTGTATGTTGTATACTGTGTAAACTCAGTCTTTTTGGGTCACATCAAAATATAAACCGATGTTTCAATATAATGTTAACATATACTTTCTCTGTGAATTTATGTTTTGACTTTTTACTGCAAAAGTCACATCCATAACGCTGGAATTGCTCTCAAACAATTACATTTTCTGTACTAAGTTTCTCTATTTACCTGCATACACCCATTACAAAAACTGCTGACCCAGCTTAAATATCAGTGAATCTGGATGTTTCCCTGTTCTTATACTTTACCTAAAGACGGTTTGCATTTACAAATCATGTTTTGAATTTATGAACTGGATTTGTGTATTCATGAATCACGTTTTTTTGTGTGTGTGTGTGTGTGTGTGTGTGTGTGTGTGTGTGTGTGTGTGTGTTTTAATCGTGTTTTAATTATACAAATTGGTTTTGTGTACTTTTGAATTGTGTTTTGAATTTCTGAACTTTATTTGTGTATTTATGAATTGTGTTTTTTCATTGTGAATTATGTTGTAGATATACGAGTTATATTTTGTAAATATATTTATTTTACAGACTTACCTGGCTCCATACATTTCAACATTTTTGTTTTATATGTATTCGGGCTGCACGATATTATAAAAACAGACATTGCATTGTGGATTTCTTGAACTGCAATATATTTTGCCATATGAATACAATTTCGCCAGATGACTTCGATAGCTTAAACTCGTAATTTAAGATTGATTGGGATGATTTTTAAAAACTTTTAAAGTTTTGTGCAGCATTGCCTTAACTTGGTCCCGGAGCCTAGTTTTGATCCAAGTTCCCTCAACACACCTGCCTGGAAGTTTTTAAAGAGCCCATATTATACATGAAATAGGGTCATATCTTGGTTGTAAGGGTCTCCAACAACAGTTTAATATGCATGCAAGGTCAAAAAACACTTTCATGGTCTTATAATCTGCATTTATTTTTACTTAATTATCCCAGCGACTCCTGTATGAATCGTTCAGGGATTCATTTGCTCCCAAACCCCTCCTTAGCGCGAAGCTAATCTGCGCTGATTGGACCGATGACAGTCTGTTGCGATTGGTCGACTGCCTTCAGTGAGAGAGTGAAATGCCAAACAGCTAATCAGCAATATAAAAGTAATCACAGTTCATACACGCTCGATAGTGTAGGCATGGATTTTAGCTGCCAGTGGGTCAATGTAAATACAGACTATGGACTTGAAAATACAGACGACTAACTATTTTATTGAGCAAAAACTCCAAAAACAGTTGAGATCTCCTAGCTTCTCACTCTGCTCTTTTCACAGACACACACACACATTTTGCACACACACACACACACACACACACACACACACACACACACACACACGCACTTAACCCTGCTCCTGACGACAACGCGCGCACACACACACACACACACACACACACACACACACACACACACACACACCTCCGGACGACAGCGCGCGCACACGCACACACAGACACACACACTACCTCCCCGTCCACGGAGCTCCGTTAACAAAGCAGCACGCGTCGCGTTTTTAACGTGACTTTGCACGCGATAAGAGAATATAGCCAGTTAACCTGATACAGTACACGAGGTTACAAGTAACAAATCACAACTAAATACATTTGCAAGCTAGAGTCAACGAGGCAACTTTAATCGCACGTACTTACACTTGAGAAATGGAGGAAGAAACCCATCCTGACGTCTATCAGTAAGTTAAGTTACTCTTTACTGATCCTTCCTTTAACAAACGCTGATGAAGTATTCTTTGTAGCATGTAGCTTCCAGAAGTTTCCAGTAGTTTCCAACTGCTTGGCTATAATGCTGAGGTTTCATCTTTGGGTAGAGACTCAATATATCCATCTGCAGTGTGACTTCAATCGACCGGCATGTTTGTGGGTGTGTGTGTGTGTGTCTCGGTTTCTGCGTCAGAGGGCGGGGCCTCAGGTTTGAAATCTCCCGGGTTTGCGCGTGCACGTGAATAACTTGGTTTCGTTCGTACGTCATGGCGAAACACCTAATGAATCAGTATCAAGGCGACTCGTTTGAAGCACTATGAGTCGACTCTTTTTTAGATGAATCAACCGTTTTTAACACTGTACACTAACAGATTTAAGCCTTAGCTGGATACTCCACTTCACTTAGAGCTGTGTTACACACTACATGGAGGGGAATTTTCAAAAACCCATAATATGGGCTCTTTAACATACCCAGAAA